CGGCCAGCCCTACGGACGCACTCGTGAGCGCGTCCCGAGGCCACGTGCCCTGTCGTGCCGCAGTCGTCGTCACGATGAGCGCAGCCTCTTTGTCGATACACGCCGCTGAATGAAGCCCGACACCGCGACGATTACGGGGTGGCTTGCTTCATGATACTCCACCACACTGGGCGGCGTGCGAGTTGGTGGGCAATGCGGGGGCGGCGGGCGGGGGGGGGGGCACGGGAGAATTGAAGTGGAATACAACAATGCACGTGACAGCATTGTCCTCTGCTAACGACAACGGAGGGGCTCTTCTGTCAATTTGCTGCTGGATGAACGCCTCCCCACGCTGTGTTGACTATGAGAGTTGTTGTTGTTGTTGTTATTTACCCATACGTAACCAGTGCCGGTTGGTGGATGCGGGGAGCAGAGACGTGGGGGCATAGAAGTGCGGCACAACAAATGCGGGTTTGCTGCCCTGCCCGCCGACTATCGGGCCCGTTCCACGCGTCCCAGTTACTTCCAACTAGGTGCTGACGCCAGGCGCCAGCCTGCTTAGCTTCCCAGGTCTGGCGATCAGGCGCATTCGGCCACCCTGTGGCGCGGTGGTCGGAACCGAGCATTCGTTCACATGCACACCCCCGGTCCGTGTGTCGACGTAGTTCATCATCATCATACATTTAGGGTCGATAAAGTGCTTACCATTGTGGGAAGGTATCGATGGTATGTAGAAACCAAATCTCCGCCATATGAATATGGAACTTCCACCAATGACTGATGATATTTGAGCGGCGATGCAGGCTTGAGTCGGGATAGTATTTGAATGGGAGACTGCCTGGGAATACCAAGTGCTCTACGCTTTGACTGTGAGATGTGGAGCATTGAGGCTTTTCCGGTAAAGGCCGTTATTATTAATGAATGCCAGGTAGGGGCTTTGGAAATTGAAAAGTCACAATTCAATATGAATCGTGCGGCGAGACGTGGCCCCGTGGCTCGGGGTCACAGCATTGAACCAACACCGTTCAGAACCTAAGTTCCAAGCCAGGTTCCAGCAATCCACGATGATGTTCTGAGCTCGGTAACTTCTAATTTAGCAATCTTTGGAAGAACGTAATCAACCAGGCTATGCGTTAATTGTGTGTTGACCGACCCTCTGTGTTGCATTGCATTACATTTCGAAATTTTTGCTAGGTTAGTTAATTTAGTGTGTCTCTCTCCCTGCCTCCTAATTTTTTCAAGCTTTCGTACCGTACCACTCATCGTGCTACTCATTGACATGCTAATTTCTCTAACCCCTCCCTCTCTCCCCGCCCCCCCTTTCTCTATTTAAGGCCTCGACACGGAGGCGTAGTTTCTCTTTGTGCCTATGTTTGTTCTCTCTCTCTCTATGTATCTCTGTGATATCTGTCTGCTTATATGTCTGTCTATATGTCTCTGGTTCTGTGTTTAATCTCTCTCTCAAATTTAGCATTCTCAGGAAGAACGTAATCAACCAGATAGGGTGTTGACTGTTATGTTATCCGACTCTCTGTTGTAGTACATTACATTTCTAAGTATACTAGATTTGTGTTTCTATTTAATTTATACCTGATTATGATTGCTTGTGTTGCAATCGAAACGTCGTATGCTAGTATTTAATTTAATTTATTATTTTATCTTTATACGTGACTTTACCGAAAAAACCAAAGAATACCCCGAAATATGTTGGCTTTTCACATAATTTGACTGTCATGTGATGAATATTTCTCTGTTGCACGGGCATATGAGCGAGGGCAGACAACGTGATGCGACTGCGATTTGACTGTTAAAACGAGTGGGCTTGGGCTGGAATAGACGATTGGCTCATGGACTAAACTGGAGGCGGAATGGCAGTCAAACGTGAGAACGCTCCCGAGCGGAGCGATGAAAGCAGCTCATGTGCACGACTGAGTAAGATTGTGTCACTGCAGGGCCATGATAAACAGGGGGGGTGGGTGTGACCTGCATCCAGCAGTCGATAGGCCATGACTTGTGTTTAACATTATTGTTATATTCGGTGCATTCAAGGGACATTTCTCCGTGGCATGGCGTGTGTGTAAGAGGTCACTTGAAGGATTGAACTCGGATGTAGTTCTGTGATATCTCTTTCCACGGACCGATTCTCGAATGCAGCGTAGCGATGGAGAAACTCCAAATGCACCCCCCTCGTCTCGTGGCAATGCAAATACCACAAGTTTATGGTGATTCTTACTTTCCAGAGAGTATTAACATATTCCTGCGGAGGGAGCTGGTAGGAACGCTGGATTACTCGGTCAATGGCCAGGGTCAACGGCGGCGTGGTGTATTCCGCAAATATGCCCGACTGTGAGGGCGGGCACAAGCCGGCGTGAGTAGGTTAAACGTTGAGTTTTATAAGGGCACCACGGGGTGACCAGCCCCTCCCCACCCCACCCCTCCCACCCCCCACCCAGCGCCACCCAGCCCCTCCCCCCCACCCTCCCCTCCCCACCCAGCCCCTCCCTGCACGACGGACGGACACAATAATCCCATGTGGGCTGGTGGAACCAGGAGGTTCCTACCAGTATAATCTGGAGAATACGTGAGCGGTAAGTTTAGCGGTGGTGGCTATGCACGTGACCTTCTATCCAGCACTGTGTGGAGGCAGCCAGGGTTGGTGGATAATCGCACAGATGCTGTGAGAAATTCCCTCGCCAGGAGAACGCGGTGCAGCAAAGTGTGGACTAATATATGTCCTCTCTGTCCGGGATCGAGTGTTCCGTGGGGTTTCTCCCGGTGCTCGGGGTTACTCCCACGTGTAATAACATAATTAGTAACACTAATTGGCTGGAAACAGCTCAATGTACGGAGAACTGCAGCGCCGATTCTTGGCACCGGGCTCAACGCCGTCACGGCGGTTGTGAGATGCAATGTACAGGGAACGAAAGCGGCGCCGTATAAAATGAATCATTGGATGTCAAAAAAAAATTAAGTGTTTGCTTTTCTGAGAAGCATGAGTTGATATCGGTTGCTGTGGAATAAACGGTTTTAACGATAAATGTGACATTTCCTTTCCCCCAATACAACTCGCAAAACCTGTCCGAGGCTGGCCACCTGTAAATTCCTGGCGATGTATAATCAATGTTAATCAAACCCGCAAGCGAGCGTGCAAGTTGGGCAATTGTCACGAAATGCGCGGAGCAACGCGTTGCGTGCAGGGGAGCGAGGCACGCGGCTTGCATGGACACGTGCTTCGCTCCAGATATTTACCAAAACTGAACAAGACAAGTAGCGTCTCGTCGTTGCGCATTGGAGTTAGCGTCACACCTTACGGGCTGGCAAATTGACTTGCTTCACTCGTGATGATTGGGATCGCGTGTTTTGGAATGGCTCTTTGGGTTTGACCCGGACAACGTCCCCGTGGCTTCTGCGTAATTCCGAAGTGGCCACATGCCCGCAGGAACGGATGATTGTATCCATCTGTACGGCTGTGAATTGAGCGTTACTCCGCCGTACACGTGGTGGCAGTGGTGGGTTTGCTCCACTCCCTTCCTGCTACTTCGGCTTTTCTCCCCCCCCCCCCCCCCACGGAGTCAAACGTTCGTGGGCCAAAACAAGCGCAGCGAAGGCCCTCACCCAGCAGTGGATTGACAAAAAGGGCTGTACACTACTGTGACACTATACACCTGGATAGGTATCATCTCCGGATCACCCTTAGACCGGAGCAGGTGGTACGTGATTATCCACAGCCACAAGCGAGATGAATGATACTGGATGTTGTGTGCCGGGCGAGGATATATTTTGCGGTTCGCCGAGCGGGACAGACCCGGCTGAAATCGAGCCCTGCACACCGAGAACAAAGACAAAGATCCCCCGTATAGCCTTTAACAGACTGTTGGGGCAAGTGCTGTTAGCGAGTAGCTCACCTACGGCACACGAGGGGGTGGGGTGGCCAGCGCCACGCCGGGCCGCCTTTGTCTCCCCAGCGGCGCGCACCAATACCAACAGTCGCCACTAAGTGACGGTGACGCCACCGAAGCGGCTGTGCCAGGCCAGGTGCACTTTGAGGCCACGTGAAGTGTCGAAGGCTCGCTGGCAGGAGGAGGTCCCGGGACAGAGGCAGCAGGTGCCATGGGTTGACCGACTGAGATGACCGGCAGATGCCCCCAGCTGCACCCGCATACTGAGCCACCTTGCTGTAATTTACCCGCCCGGCGCTTTGTTGTGAGCGTCGCTCCTCTGCCCACCCCGTTGTGGCTAACCGCCTCCAACTGAGCAGTAGCGGCGTCCTTCACGACCCCCCCCCCTTCCCTCCTCCGTAGTGGCGGTCGCAAAGACAAAAACGAGACGCACACCGCCACGCCGTGACGGCCACGATGACCGGGCAAGCGTCGTCACAGACCTCAGAGCCTCGACAAGCCGTGACGTCACCTCAAAGGTCTTCTGGCACCCCCCACCACCACCACCACCTCCTCCTCCCACCAGCCAAGGCAGCCAACCATCTCGCGTGCATCCCACCCAGGGCTCTCGCATCCCTGTCCCCCCGCCCTCGCCACCACCACCAACCACCAAACCCGGGCGAGATCTCAGTGGGAGCACCCCCCCCCCCCAGCGGACGATGGTGGTGGTGGCGGTGATGATGATGATGATCAGGAGCTGCGCTCGCCGCTCGCTGCTATAAATGCGCAGGCGTGGAGAGCACGGAGCTGCTGCTTGCTGCTGCTACTGCTGCTGCAGGAGGCAGACACCCCGAGGTGATTCCTCCACCACACCATCCCCACCGCATCGTAACGCCTCTTCCCTCCCGCTCATCCGACACCGCTCGTGAAATCCGCGCGTCCGTGCGTCTGCGTGCGTCTGCGTGCGCGCGTGTGCTCAGACGGCCTTCAGCGCCCCAGGGTTTTTGCGTCTCCGCTAACTCGAACTTGCCCCAACAGTCGGCCCAGAGGCGGCTGTACCGGGGGGTGGTGGGGGATGTTTGTCTGTGCGCGAGGCTGTGCTTTGCTCGCCTGGGTGGGTTGTATCATAACAACCACCAGCAGCAGCAGCTGCTGCAGCTGTAGTCTAATCAGCACAATCGGCGTCACAAGATCTGTGTGCGATCGTACAGTGGTAGCAGTGCGGCGTGATGCTGTGCTGGATATGCGGCTGTATTTACAATTGGCGACGGCTGAACAACAATTGGCACAATCGGCGAGGCTGCGCCGTCCGCTGCAGCCACCGGGCAATGATCACGAGCAGCGTCGCAATGTGACGTTGAACTTCTTTCGCGCCGTACGTAGACCACCAGGTACGTGTCTGTGTGGTGTCGGCCTTAATAGGTGCTCGCACACAGCAGCTTGCTGCCCTCGACCGCAGCTGTGAAATGCTACACGGGGGGGTCTTTGTGGAAGGGGGTTATTTTTGTTGCGTGGCCTTTGCGGACCGCATCACCATCGCCACCATCATCATCACCATCATCAACTATCACCACCATCATCACCATCATCAACCACCACGATCATCATCACCATCATCATCAACCACCACCATCATCACCATCATCAACCACCACCACGATCATCATCACCATCATCATCAACCACCACCATCATCACCATCATCAACCACCACCACGATCATCATCACCATCGCCACTGCACAAGAAGCGACCACCAACTAAATTCGTAGCCGCTTGATGAAAAGCAAAAGACAAAGCCACCCCCCCCGCCCGTGTAGCCTCAACGACAGAAAAATCACTCACACGCGCGTCTTTGTATCCCCTCGGCGTTCGTGCGCAGCGCGCGCGCGCGTAACACGCCACGCACGGACGGGGGCCGCGCGCGTGCACGTGGCGAGAAGAGCGCCGTTGCCGCTGAGGTTCGTTCCGTAGACGTCTCGCGGATCGCCAAGAGGACCATGGGGGAGAAACCCGGTACCAGGTACGGGCAAGTGTGGTGCGTGTGTGTGCGTGCGCGCATGTGTGTGTGCGTGCGCGCATGTGTGTGTGCGTGCGCGCATGTGTGTGTGCGTGCCGGTGTGTGCGGCGCATGTGTGTGTGCGTGCGCGCGTGTGTGCGCGCGCGCGTGTGTGTGTGTGTGACCCGAGCCTGGGCACACACCCCCCTCCCCACCCCCCACCACTAGGTCGACTCAGCCCTCAAATGAGTACCTGGTGCGGTGTGTAAAAACAACGCCACTGGGGAGACAAAGGCGGTCGGGCGTGGCGGTGTTGGGCCACCCACCCACCCCTCGTGTGCCACAGTGCCGGCTTTCATAGGTGCTCGCTAACGGCACTTGCACCAGCAGTCTGTTACAGGCTGTACGGGGGATCTTTGTCTTTGTGCACCTAGCCTGGCACAGAGCGATGTTGGTGAGCCCTGGCTGTTGATGGTAGAGCGCCTTGGGATGCGTTGCACGTGTAAGGACATTTTGTGTAGATGTAAATACAAAGATCCCCCGTATAGCCTTCAGACTGTTGGGGCAAGTGCTCTTAGTGTGTGCGTGTGTATATACACACATACACATGTAATTCACATGTATAACGTATATACACGATGACGTGTGTGTATACATGCATTCGCACACGTATGCACACACATAATGTACTGATGCGCGGGTACAAATACGTGTGTGTAGCACTGTATGTGTACACATACTATACACCACCTATATAATTTAGCCCGCGTCCGACAGGACGAACCACTGCGGAGATTCAGTCAAATGTTGCAGTCGTGGAATGGATGGTAGGCAGCATTGGACTGTGGTGAGGCCTTCATCCAGCAGTGGATGGACAATGCCTGCTGCTGTTATTACAGTAACAGCAGTATGCGTGCCCTGTGGGTGTCCCTGCGTCGTGCACTTTCAGATGCGCTCCTGCGGCCGTCTGGAACGCTCTTCCTTCCGATATTATTAAACTGCTTTTTGTCTTTAGGTTAGTTGTCCTTCCCCCGCACCTCCGATTTGGCATGTTTTGGCTACGCACGGGTTCGAGAGAAGTTCAACATACACGCACATTGCCCAACACTTGTGTACACACACACAGCCTTAGAGTGTGTGCACATAGTATCGATCGCTGTGTGCCGTCTCCTTTTCTCAAACACACCGGTAATTAAACACCGTCCACGATATTTAATCAAGCACCTTTGATCCGATTATCCTTCCATTTGCATATCATTTGTTTAAATTGTGCTCGTGCAGCTTCATTCGCTGTCTTTTCCCAGCTCCTTGTGGTACCTGTGATGATGGGGATGCCAACTGATGATGGGGATGGGTGGGGATGACGATAATTGTGGTGATGTCGGACGCCTGGTGATTAAAGAACTTGGCCATTCGTTCTCCTTAAACATGCGCTCAAATAAGCCGAGCACATGCCAATGCTGGCGCTGCAACGCGTCTGCGAGGATGATGGCCACCGGGGAGATAGAGCGATGACATTGGCTCGTGTGCAGGTGCCAGGCCGAGCATTACGTCTGTACATCTGTGAACAAGGGCTTTATTGCTCATGGGATTCCCCCAGTGTAAATATTCTGCATTGTCGCGGGACATGCCGGTGACTTGAAGAGGCCTTTATCCAGCGGTGGATAGGCCATGGTTAATCACGACGAGTGCGAATTATTACTTATAAGTCATACTGTAACAAGATGGTACTTACATTTTGATTTAAAGCTTTCGTGACTGCAAGGATTCATATTCTTCTTGGTTCTTTTCACACCTGATGATGACTGCTTGTGTTGCGATCGAAACGTCATGAGAATTGTATTGTTTTATATTTTTATTATTTTATTGCTTCCCTTCTACGTGAATTTACCGAAAGAACCAATAATACAAGATGGTACTTTACAACCTCTTTGCCAATCCACTGCTTGGATGCAAGGGTTTTTTTCATGCAGTGTCGATCCGTTGGGGTCATTTGACCATGCTTCACCACGCTGGTCAGGGAGGGCTGATGAAATGGGGGGTGCATGAAAGACTGATTGTGAAGTCAGTCGCCACTGATGTCATGACCGGGAATCGAACTCGGCTGGCTGTGTCCGTAGCGCAGACTTGGGCTCGCCACTCCGCCACCACCACCATGATGCCTTCAACTCTTTGAAATAACAAAATGAAATGATTACCAGGTTGTTTTTCAAGGATCTTTTTTGTCTTTTATTATCAGCGCACAAATTGGGGCAAATAACCACCTTTCTCCTCCATAATCATGTCTCCCCCGCCAGTCCTTCACGGCACAATGGATCTCAATTGGGTCTCGTATGTAGTTGAATGAAAGGACATTGAAACGAGGTATGTTGAAGTCCTTTTTGAAATTATGATGGCGCTTCGGTGAGGTGAGCGAGGGTACGTGGGTGCGTACTCGCACGCGCTTCCCACAGCCTGATGAAGACGGAACGCTCCACCAGAATCGTCGTAGAAATCCAGCGATTAAAAAACGAAGTGTTCTTTGTTTTTTGCGTTAAAGGCCCAACGGCACTTGATAACGGCATACGTTCGTTACGCCGGGTTTGCAGCGCAAGGCTATCGCGAAGGCAGCCACTGTGTTTCACGGAGATAGCCTGCTCTAGTTTCTCGGGGGGGGGGGGGGGGCGATGTTGATGTGTCTAAACCCAATTGAGTAATTTGCTGTGTACTTTTTTTTCAATCTTTTGCAAATTTGGGCTGTGACTATGACACACAATGGTTTGCTCGTTTCGAATGACGGCTTCTGTCTAACGTCAACTGTGGAGCAGACTGCGCGCGGCTTCTTGGGCCTTGCACGCCTGCTTTAATAAATAATCAGAATCTTTCTTGATCTTGGAGGAATCCGATGAGCTATGAAGATCCTTTTCGCAGTTGTCCGGTACAACCAGGGCGGGTACGGCTGGATCCGAACCACGTAACATCCTCCACAGCGCCCCAGCACGGGGGCCGGCTGCGGGGGGGGGGGGGGGGGTAACCAGTCGAGAAAGATGAAAAGTTTGGTCTAGAAGTGAGAAGTACGCGTAATATATACAATACATATATAAAATCAGGCTTCGGTGATTTCTGCCTGGATGGGGGAAGCATTCCAGGTGGGACTGGATGGTGAATTGTGTTGAGAGCTGTGCGGAGGCCAAAAAAAAAAATTAAAAGTTCATTACGTAAATACTGCACGCATTTATTTCATTCTGTTTTGAAATGCATTCTTTTCATGCCAGAGAATGTGTGCGTGTTTTCACATGGGTTGTTTTTCGAGCGGTTGTTCGCAGTCGCAAAGTACATTTCCATTTACGTAATTCTGAATGTACTACGTAGGGCAAAAGCGCAGCCCCTTGCAGTTTTTCTTGCTGCCGCCGCTGCTGCTGCTGCTGGCGGAAAGGGGCCCTGCGAGAGATGCCCCAAGAGAGGGGCTATTTGGCCGTCTCTTCCCGCGCTGGCCGAAACGTATCGGAAGGTAGTTGGAAGTACCCTACAAATTGACCCCCATCGTCATACGTGACCTTCCGATCGACCTAATTGTGGTGTATATACCAATTATGCTGCTGAAATATAAACGTCGTACGTTTTGTAATTGCACTGGCAATTATCTGTTGTGCGTACTCCGTGTCGGATCAGTAGTTTTGTCTAATTACTGTGTATGTGTGTTTTTAAAATAACACACACAGCAGGGGGTGTCTGGGTGGCTCAGAGGTCTGAGTGCAAAGCCAGCACCTCTGATATCCTGGGTTCGAATGTGGGTTTCAGCCACCCTGTGTTTAAATTGGATTGCGTGGTGCAGTGTATTGACTGCGTCCACCCGTTAGACAACGATTGGTCCAAAAATAAAATTTATTTTACATTTCACTTTTCATCTTGACTTAATAATAATAATGGCAGTAGTAATGATTTAGTACATTTATTTAGTCACACCATTTTTATAGGGCAAGGCTATCACCCAAAGGTGCTACTTTTCAGACAATCTGCGGTCGTACAGTAAGGGATGACAATTTCGAACGGCTAATCCCAAATTGAGTAATTTGCGGTGTAATGTTTTGACATGGGTAAATGTGGATCGTGAAGCTGGCACACAAAGGCCCACTCGCGTCAAGTGATGTCACGAAATATTTACCGTCCAATTTAATACACCCGCAGTGCTAACTAGGGCGGCCTTCCGGATTTCAACCACGAACTTCCGCAACGAACGGCGAATGCGCTACCGCTTGGGCCATGCCATTATGACTGTATTGCAGTTTTGCCGCAAAAAAAATGTTTTTTAGACTGTCATGAGACCACCTCGTGGCAAGGGTGTGTTGTGGGAAAGGGTGCCCCGAAAAGCATAATCACAAAAGGCCACCTTGAAGGATTATTTTTTTTGGGAGGGGGGGGGGCGGTAGATCCGGTGTTATGTTTACCGCAGCTGTTGTCTGCCACGTGTGGCAGACGCGAGATTACCGAATGGATTCCTCGTAAGCACGGTTAGCTACGTACGGCGCGAAATAAGTTCAACCGTGTGTACGTCTTGTGACGCCATGCTGCCATTAACCCAATTGGAATAAATTGGGGAAAATGAAATGGGGGGGGGAGGCGGGGGGCGGAGGGGGAAACCCCCCACGATATAAAAAGTAATTACTGAAGTCTATTAGGGCTGGCTTACATTCACGGGCTAACTTGCTTTCCAGTGCTAATGTGATAATGGTAATGGCAGCAGCCTGGCATGGGGGTGTCTGTGCTTGGCTTGGTGACCTCCACGCATCGCACAGAGCGGGGTCACCCGCGTCTGACAATGCTGTGACCGAGCGGAGGTTGAATCGAAAAGTAAGAACAGCACTCGGTGCCCGTGCAGTCACCACAGAGCCAAGTGCCAGGCTAGGTGCACCTTGAGGCTATGTGGAGTGTCCAAGGCTCGCTGCTTGTTGGAGGTCACGGGACAGAACTCGTTTGTTGTAGAGCGATGACTGGCAGATGCACCATCACAAAAAAATACACGCACGAAAACAAAATGTGAATTT